TTTGCGAGGACTTGGGGTTTGCATTTGCGACCAAAACATCGCATTTACGATGACTGGGTTTCTCAGAGGAGTTTGATTTTGCTACCTCTTTCTCGCAATTCGATGTTCGCAATTACAAACAAAATATCGCAATTGCTACATATGCAGCTGGGTAAAAGCTGAGATGGACGGAATTTTAGCTCATTTTCTCAACCCTAAACACCTTAGAGGCGATTTTCCCGAGAACCTTTCTTCCTAATTTCTTTAGTAAGTGACCTTAATCTACTTTCTTTCAGTTACCCATTACATTTCCTGAGTTTTTATCATTAAATCTAAGAGTTTCATAGTAGAAATTGAGGATTTGCGTAGAATTAGGGATCTTTGTAAATTTGAAATTTAGATCTCGAATTGAGGTTAGATTTCAAAATAAATTACATAACCGGGCTCGGGGTGAATGGGTAATCGGGTTTTTGTCTGAATTTCGGGTTTTGACCAAGCGGACCCGGGGTTGACTTTTGTCAACGTTTTTAATAATGATCTAAATTGAACCTCGTTCATTCGTGGGTAGTTCCTAAGGATTATTTTGAATCGTTTAGTTAATAATTTGCTAGATTTTGTTGGTTCGGAGACTTGTTTGAAAGGCAAGGCCGTGGTTGAAATTTGAGTCGATGGTGGAGCGAGGTAAGTGTCGTGGTTAAACTTGACTTGAGGGATTATAATTTATTTGCCTATTTGCTACGTGTTTGAATGTGTGGGTACAACATATATGTGAGGTGAAGAGTACTTATACATTTTTGTCGGGTTAAAGCATGCGGTGTGACTTGCTTTCTTGAAATTTATTGCCTTCTTTACTTATGATATCCATGCTTAGATTAGTTTATTTCTTATTTGATCGTTCTTTCCGCATTTATGAATTAAATGTGATGGTTGAGTATATTTAGAAGTTGAGGTTTAGCATCTTAGAACCATTATTGACGTAAGGTTTATTTTTGTTTTATCTATCTCCCAAAATTTTATATTCATTATTACATGGTAAGGGAGAGTGTTAAAGAACGAAGGGTGATGACATGTCGTTTATTGCTTCATTTATTGATTAATACATAGTGAGGAAGAGAGTTAAAGCACGAAGGGTGATGTCGTGCCGTATTTATCATTTCATGGAGAGGTTGAGGGTAAAAGCACGAAGGGTGATACCGTGCCGTATTTATCGTTTCATGGTGAGGTGAGAGTAAAAGCACGATGGATGATGTCGTACCTTCTTTATTCATTATGTTTATCCGTGTTAATTGGTTGATGATTTATTTGGTTGTCTTATGTTGTCATTCATGTTGTAGTTATCGTATCTTGTTCCCCATTCACATGTCCCCTCCCAATCGTACGTATTAAATCTCTATTTGTTGTTATATTGCACATATATCTACGTTTGTACATGTTTAATTACATGAGTGTTCTATCATAGCCTCGTCACTAACTTGTCGAGGTTAGGCTCGACACTTACGGAGTACATTAGCTCGGTTGTACTCATACTACACTCTGTACTTCTTGTGTAGATTTTGGTACTGGTCCCAGCTGTACGTGAGGTGCATCAGCTCGGATTATCACCTTTGGAGACTCAAGGTAGATCTGCTGGCGTCCTTAGACCTTGAAGTCCCCTTCTTCTTTCCTCATTTACTGTTCATTTCATTCGAAACAGTTGTATTTATTTCAGATTCTATTTGTAGAACTTCTAGAAGCTCGTGCACTTGTGACTCCAGACCCGTGTACTTAGATATGTTGGTTATTATGCCACTTCGTACTTCATTTTAGTTTTATTTCAGTTTAATTGGTTTATTTATTTGAATTGTTTAAAAATTGGCTTCAGAATTACTCTAACGTTAGCTTGCCTAACGAGTGATATGTTAGGCGCCATCACGGTACCAAAGATTAGAATTCCGGGCCGTGACAGAACTTCAAATATATACGACTAAATTTCAGATATTTATGCATGAAACTTGAGACGTAAATGGCTGAACTTCGAGTATTTATGAATGAACTTTAGGCATCCATGCATCAAGTTTAATATGTATGATCTATCCATTCCATGACTTGGGATTTCACCTAAGCATTACTGCACATGTATTTTACTGTCCTCATAGGATCTAGACATCTAGTAGCCTACGGCCTACCTTGACTAATGGCGTTATCTTCTTTTACCCAAAGCCTCTCTTTGAGTAACTTTTTGAATTTTTTACTTTAATTACATGAAAACGTCCAAAAATTAAAAGAGTTCAAGAAATCAGGGGTCGACCACGGGGGCACGAATAAGCACAAAATTCATTAAACAAGTCATCGGAAATCAACTACATATTCAAGCTAATGTCACTAAGAAGAAGCGGAGATGTTGTGTCTGAAGTTTGCCGATACTCACTATCAGTTAAATATTTTGAAATAAAATAAATAGCATGGTCAAAACTGGCCGTCGGGTGAATTTAATGCCGGACCAAGCCATTTTTTTTTAAAAAAAAAAATCTCTTCTAATTTAGTAAGATTTATAGTGTTTTCAAACTTCTTCTCTAGCGTGACTCAAACTCCGGATCTAAAGATGTGAATGAAGGTATTTTACCAACTGAACAATTCTCACTTGACGGCCAATTCATTTGGGGCATTTGCATCTATACACGCTTTTTATCTCACGTTTTAACTTGTGCCCGCTTTGCAAAAAAAATTGCAAGCGTACCTGCTTTTTCGCATAACTTCAGTATACGGGGCTGAAGTAGCAAAGGCAATCGCACAAAACTTCAGCATTCTAGTAGTCGGGACTGAAGTTCAGCTCTAGAGCTGAAGTTTTTGTTTGCAAGTTTCAGGTCTAGAGCTGAAATTTTTGTATTTTAACTATCGAACTTCAGCTTTAGAGCTGAAGTTTTTGTTTTGTAACTGTCGAACTTCAGCTCTAGAGCTGAAGTTTTTTCTGGAAAAATAAGCTTTTTATGTTATCGTCCGCTTTAAATGCAGCAACCTCATTTTGTCTAACTCACACTCAGCTTTGCTCAGCCATTTTTATTGCTAAGCAACCGATATTCGAAAATTAAAAACAATTAGGAAATCCTTATGAGGATTTATCTTTATGATATGTTGGAGACGAAGTTTGGCTTATAGGTTCAGTTACAGCTTTAAAATAAGAGAATGACAACGATTAAGGGTAATGACGTGTAACGCAGTAAAAGAGAAATAACACAGAAAAAGCATTCCACTTTGAAATGAAAACAACAAAGACTCAGACTACCAAGAACAGTAATGATCCCTAAGATGACATATTCAAAAGATTCAGTAGCTCCACCACACTGTACAATCTCAGACAACCACCAAGGAACTTGCATTCACAGGTTATATACATAGCCGTAACAGATTTCTTGCAGAAAAAGGGAGAAGGAGAAGTTTGAGAAAGAAGAGGCAGATATAACTTTGAGGAAGAGAATGAGGAGGAAAAGGGGGGGTTGAAGTTGTTTAAAAAGTGGGTACAAGTTAAAAGTTTTAAAAAATGGGTATAGGTTAAATTATTAGGGCGCCCCGTGCAATTTTTTTTATAATCCATTTCGACCCATAAAAGGAGGTACTTTGGGCTGATATGAGAATTAAGCCCATTTGATCTATCAACATTCAACATAAATGGTAGAAATGGCGTGGGGTAACCACTGTTTAAGCTAGTATTTACTTTTTATCCAGCATTTTTAATGCTTAGCAATAGTAGCCACTAGTCTATTAAAACTAATATGAAAAGACCGTGTTACCCTCTCTTCTATCTCTTTTCCCAAATGGAAATACAGTGTATTTATACTGTTTCATTTCCGCATCTAAGTTGCGCAATCGTGTATTCGGAACCTCACCTTCACTCATTGGTAAGGAAGGTCAACGAGAGCACCAAATGGTATGAACTTCTATTAATGCTACTGAATGTTAAATGTCTTTGGTTATAGTTCTTGTTGATAAGCTAAACAAGCATGAAGAACATAAGGGAATGATTACAAAAGCAAAAGGAGAATGGGAAGAGGTTCCAGATTTTAAAAAAAGATTAAGATATGACATTGTGAAAATAAGAAAAAGAGTGATGAGTAAACAGGAAATGCAATTCCTTCCCAAAAGTTAAGGACATGTAGTCCTGAAGTCCTAAAGTTAAATTCAAAAGTTAAGGACATGGTCCTGAACTTAGAGTTTCAAGTTCAAAAGTTAAGGAAATGTAGTCTTGAAGTCCTAAAGTTAAGTTCATTAGTTAAGGACACAAGTTCAAAAGTTAAGGATAGACAGTCCTTAACTTACAGTTACAAGTTCTAAAGTTAAGGACAGACAGTCCTTAACTTACAGTTACAAGTTCAAAAGTTAAGGACAATAGGTCCTTAACTTTGATTTCCAAGTTCAAAAGTTAAGGACAGACAGTCCTTAACTTATAGTTACATGTTCAAAAGTTAAGGACAAGCAGTCCTTAACTTACAGTTACAAGTTCAAAAGTTAAGGACGCTTGGTCTTGAAGTTTGAGTTCAAAGTTCAAAAGTTAAGGACATGTAGCCTTGAAGTATTGAACTTAGAGTTCCAAGTTCAAAAGTTAAGGACATGTAGTCATGAACTTAGAGTTACAAGTTCAAAAGTTAAGGACATGTAGTCCTGAAGTCCTGAACTTAGAGTTCCAAGTTCAAAAGTTAAGGACATGTAGTCCTGAAGTACTGAAGTTAAGGACATGAGCAGAAAGGTATTTTCGTCCGAGCAATTAAAGTTTATTAAAGCAGCGACTAAAGACTAAAGACATTTTAAATGGTGACTTAAAAATAAATACATATGTTATTAGTGGTCAACCGTGCACTTCCCCGCATAAATGTCTGGCCAGTGCATTCCACCACGACTTAAATCAGTTGAATCAGTCAATCCTACTCTTTTTGTAACTACTCCCTCATTTTTTGTCCTTATTTTCAGCACGTGTTGTTTGTACTACTCTCACTCTCCTAAAATTTATTGTTTTTTCCATTAATTAATTCATCTAGAAAACACAAAACCTTCATCTTCTCATCCTCTATCTTGAATCTTCACACATATATCCTGTGGAAAATACCATAGAAAAATCTCTTTCCAATCTTGTGTGAAACAGCACAGCACTACTCTTTTCCATCTTTCTTGCTTCATTATTCATTAATGGCTGCAAAAAGACTGCCCAGTAACAAACACTTGTAATATTAGTGAGGAGAAAAATACATGAACTTTCGTTTGAAGAATATGATACTAGCTAGTAAGCTTATTCATATAGAGCTTGAGAAAATGGAGATTCATTACCAATTTCCTATGGTTACCACCGGCCATTATCGGCACCGGCCGGCGAGCCACCGTTTGCCGCTCCCGGAGCTTATTCAGGTTCTTTTACTTTTTCTGTTTTTGTTTTCCTCTGTTCTAATTTCCTATTCGAATGTCTATTTTGTTCATGAAATTATAGTCCTGTAAAATTGTTATTGGGAAATTAACGAAAAAATAGACAACGCTTCTTTCTCTTATTTTTTTCCCCTTCACATTTTGAAATCATTTTTTGCTTGGCAATCTTACAGGAAAATTGATTCAGAAACAGAGGAACTGTTAATTTGATTCAGCTAAATAGAAAATATAACGGTGTGATCGTGAAACTTACTCCTGAATATGTCGGAACTATATAGAAACTTAGGGGTTTACTAATTTTTTAAATTTATATGTGAAAAAACCATAGTTCCATATGTGATGAATTCTCAATATCTATTGTGAAAAATTAAAGTATCAAGTTAATCTTCAATGATTTGCATTTTGAGTATCTATTTTGACAAAATTATCTAAAATTCTAGATTCTTATGCGCTTTTACAATACGTGTCTTACTTATATCTGACGTTGACGACAGAAGATTTCGAACAACTTATTCTCTCTTATTGAGACCTATTTGGATGAGATTGATATTCAAGAAGTAGATGAAATACCCTCTTCAATCCAAAGTTTGTCTCTAAATTTCATCAACTTGAAATTGTTGCAAATCTCCTTTGAGTTTTTTCAAGAAACATCAACTTGAAATTGTGGGCAAAATCCGTTCTTCTTGTTCTTTCAAGTTATGTTAATTTTGGGGCATAACTTTCTAGACATTTTTCTCATTTGATCAGTCACAAAATCAACTGAATAGTACGTAATTAGCTTCTTCATTCAAACTTTTGCTAAAAGTCCGAGTCATGAATAAGAATAACTTATACTCATCCTGTAGAGATTTTGAATAAATGCTAAGTGATATTATTCAAACGTTATTCTTTAAAAATTGTAACAATGTGACCCTTAGAATATGAATCTTACTCCTGAACCTCGGTACTATTAATTTAAATATTAAGTTTATATGTGACATAGTTCTATTGTGATGAATTCTCAATACCGATTGTGAGAAATGTATCAAATTGATCTTTAAGTGTATCGATTTTGACAAAACTGTCAAACTTATCTCAAAATTTAAATTTTTATTTAATTTATTTTATAACACGTGTCTCACTTATATCTGACGTCAACTGCATGCAGATTATGAATAACTTACTCTCTCTTATTGACACCTATTTGGATGAAGTTGATGTTCAAGAAAAGTACATGAAATACCCTCTTCAACTGAGGAAATATACTAGATTTGTCTCCCAACTTGATAAGTTGAAATTCTTCAGTATGTAATTACACATTTTTTCATTTGTTCAGTATGTAATTAGCTTATTCATTCAAACATTTGGTTGTGGCTATTTGATAATATCAGACTGTTTAACCAAAGTATTCTCTTGTTTTGTGCCAAAACTTGAATAAAGAGGAGGTCACCATATATGTTCAATGCACTCCATTACAAAATTGACATTAGATTTCTTTGCTTTTCATATGATATTCCTGTGTAGTCAGCAGTGTTTGCTCATATCAACTTAAGTTAGCCAACTGAACCAAACAGTTT